AAACCACTAGTTTACAGTGGTCTTCATATGCATATGGCAGGTGGGCAGGAGCGCCAACCTTTAGAGTCAAAGACCTAGGAGTTTCAGTTCCAGCACAAACACACTATACACCAAGTCACACAACACAGCACACCAACTCAAGCAGTAGGCACTTGTGTTGAAGGCTGAGGAGTTTAGATTGGAAAGTTTATTTTTCTTTATTTTTCTTAATTTATTCTTGCCTCTTCTTCCTACCATTTAGAGGTTATGGTGTTTAATAAAATGGTCTTCAGGTTCTTTTGTCAGAAAGTGGAACCAGCCAAGGTACAGCTCAAACAACATGGATAAGGGTGTCTGCCTCCTAAAGGGTAGGGAATGTGCTTAGAATACAGAATTGCATGCACATTGTAAATGTTCAATTAATGATCACTAACACAGTAATGATGATGATGAAATCATAATTTGTCTTCATTTTACTTTAGATCTTTTATTCTGGTAAGCCAAGATACTTTCCACCAGAATGAAAAGAAATCAAAGAATGGGAGAGCATGTTAACATTGTGTTTTCTCTGGTTGTCTTTATAAGGGTGTGGGGCTTGGGGTGGGTGGGGTGGGGAATAAGCTTGCGCTACAGGATTTTGTGATGATGGAATTCATTTCTAAGATTACTAAAAATTGCCTTTTCTAAGAAAGCCCATTTTTCCCTTTGAAAGAGAATCAATTATATGACCTTAATTAAAAGGCCTGAGGCCAAACATTCTTCCACAAATAACTGTCCACACACTACCAGTTCATTTCCTATCCATTCCCCTTGGCAAGGCCCAGCACACACTAAAGGAAGATAGATGGACTTTGGAGGGTGACCCGGGGGTCAACTGATTGAGGCAGCTGAATTCATCAGTGTGGGCTGCAAATTCCACCACAGAACTCCACGCACTGATAGCAGCTTGAACAATCCTTTCCTGTTCCAAGTTCAGCTGTGTCTAGAAAAGTCAAGTAAAACATATTGTTCAGAATTACCTCGCATGCAAGACCCAGCCATCTTGTTCCACTGTAGTTTTACAAATGACTCATTTGGAAAGCCACCGTTGGGCGCAGTGCTGAAGAAACAAAACTGCATGTGCTTTATTACATAGCTATTATAGTGGCTGCATATCGTGTTCCCTCACAAAGACAGGGGTTTTGGAGATGTAATTAAGTTCGGGATCTCAAGATGAGATCACCCTGGATTAGGTGGGCCCGCATCCAATGACAAAACCTCACAAGGGAAGGGCAAGGGCCCCAGCCACAGGAGAAAGTCATGCAGTGAGAACACCAAGCACTGCCAGTCGCCTTTGGGAGCAGAGTGGAGTGTGGGTAGGCTTGCCCTTGGGACCTACAGAATAACCAACCCTGCTGACACCTTGATTTGGGGCTTTTAACGTTCAGAACTCACAGAGGATTAAGTTCCCGTTATTTTAAGCCACTGAATTTGTAATAAGTTATTTTAGCAGCTCTAAGAATTGCTAGGTGAAGCAAACAAGCTAGAAGGGAATCACACCCTAATACTAGGAGTATTTGTATCTGGTGACTGAGCTACACCATTTCCCTTTTCCGTAAACCACTTAACTTCACTGAGTTTTCCAAATTGTACATTTATTATTGCAAAGAATTTGACCAAAATTCATTTAGAATAAGAAATGAATCTACCTTAAAGTGATGTTATTACTAGGATTTAGAAAAAAATGTGGAAATTATCCCAAATCCCCAGCACTTGGACAATCTATTAAGCTGTTCCACTTTCATCACCCGTACTGCTGCCACATTCCCCAAGGCAATACATGTTCCAGGTCTGAGAAGATGCAGACATTTCCTGGTTACCTCTTGCTTCCAAATGTTGGCCTCCTAAAGATGAAAGGAACCTGTTCACTGTGGTCACCAAGCTACTGCATGCGTTGCTGGAGAAGCTCCTAAATTCAGGCCACCAAGGATGCATTGTGAGGAGCACCCCCTGGGTGCTGGACTGAGAAAACAAGGACTTTGAGAAATTATATCATTAGGGTACTTTCATAATTGCTGAGGAAAGAAAACCCCTGCATTCTTCTCGTAAGTCTCCTGGATGTCTAACTCCTCAACAGTCAGAGCTGGAGCACATGCCCCGGGTGTGGTATGTGCACATAATGTGCCGGGTCTTAAGAACTGTGAGCACAGTTTCTACATGACCAGGTATTTTTCCAAACACGAAATAAAATAACACTCTTGTTAAATGCCTTCTCATGGTCACATGTGCCAGTGGGACGCCCGTGTTACTGAAGTGCTGGGAAGCGCACACCCTAAAGCGAACCCCTGCAGACTGGGCGTGACAGTGTTGATTTCTGTGTCAACTTCAAGTTGGCTAAGGAGAGATGCTGTGAACTGTCTCCCTTTGGCTGATGGAGTTTTCCCCTGGGAAACCTGATACAGAGGGTGTTTGTATAGCTCTCTTCCTTTCAAAACTCCCCAGACTGCCCAACTAGACCCCAAACCTATTAACAAGCCAGATGAGGCCTCCCTTCAATGTAGGCAGATCCGACTAGGAAACTAGAAGTCACCTTCTTGGGAAAGTGTTTCATATATTGTGAAGTTTGGAAACCTATTTCTCTAGACCTAAGTCCCCCTCAGCTATAAATTGAGATAGACTGTGCAATCACGATTAACACATGGTGATGGCACTGCTGCTGAGGGGACTTCTGAGAGATGAAATTCAAGAGAACAGAAGGTCTACGTCCAGTCCCCTGGAAAGAAACCAGACACCGCCGTTCCCTCAGCGGAACATCAGGAAGTGGGTCCCATGCAGAGCTCTGGTTCTCCAGATCCCTTGAGTTGTGATGTAGGTTTGTGTATCTGCCAACAGTGAGCTGTTTGTTCCTACGTCTGCGTGTGCTGGTTATACCTGCAGCTCTAATTGTGCAAGTTACATCTCTATGTGAAATATGACTGCAAAAAGAAGGAGGAATTGCTGTTGTGGTGGAAGCTAAGCTAGATGCTTGGAAATGACTCAAAAATGAATGCTGACACACACATAAGAGTTAAATTAGGTTTTGTAAAAAAAAAAAAAACTATAAAAGATTAGGGTTGAAGCAGAAAATGTAAAGATATTTAATGTTTTTTTGACAGTGTCTTTAAGTTTTGATACTGCTGAAAAACAATACAAAGCAAAGCAAGCCCTGAACTGCAAATTGAAGAAATGCATTATAGGTGTGTTTTATGCAGGAACTATAAGACACCATAATCAGTAAGACCCACATCAAAACCCCTCCTCCACTGTAAAATGAATGTATAATTATATATTTCAATAAAAGTTAAAACATTTAAGATATATACATGTGTATTATATACATACTCCTATATACACACACGTATATATACACACATACACGTATATAGAGAGAAAGACTCTGAAATATGAGTTATTGCTCACTGTCCCTACATCCCTCATTTTTTTCTTCCTTAGAAACATAATATTCCACTTATTGTCTGGCGTATCACCTGGGAACAAAGACACTGTCTCCCAACCCTCACATCTCCTAGGGATTGTCATTTAAGTCCTAGCCAAAGGGATATATGTAGGTGAAACTAGCACGTACAACTTGTAGAAAGTGCTCTTCAAGGGAAAACTGTACCTTTCTTTCCCTGGTTCCATATCACTTGGAAAGTGGATGTGATGGTTGGAACTTAAGCAGCTGAACTGAACAACGAGGTGGAAGCCCTGTGTTGAGGAAACCAGCAAAACCTAGGCAGTGCCTGGTGACCATGGAGACCCCATAATAGCCTTGAACCACATAACTGCCCACCATGATTAGCTGGGAGAGAAAAAATTCCTTTATTCTTTAAACCACTATTATTTTGAGTTTTCATTTGTTTCATCCCAACTGGATTTTTAAACCTTACCTGACCAACTACAGATGTTAATTTTGTTCGATTATGTTGGATAAAGGCTCTGTTATACCAGGTGCCATCATTGAGTGGGGAATTAAATTTGATGGCTTCAACAGATTTGATAGAACTGCCTTTTCTAACAATAGGATAGGCACCGTGTTCTCAGTGGATGAGATCCTAAAATCGTTCTGATTTTTGAGGCACCAGCTAAGGAAGAATCTGGTGGTGTGGAATGTAATGTTTTTAGTCAGGATGACTTCATCTGAAGCTTTGACTTTTCATGAGTTACTACAGGAAATTTAACCACTTTGGGTAGAATAGGTATTAAAAGGAATTTTTTCATATTCAATATCTCTATGGATCTGCGCCTTTATCTGTTGAGGAATAACCTGGAACATTTCAGGAACGTCATCATGTAATGCTGATTTCACCATCTGAGAAAGCACATGTGCTGTTTTGGAATGCATTTAGAGCTGCTTATTTTAGGATTAAAGGATACAGAAGGAAGGACTATGATTAATTCTTCTGATAGCCCCTCTCACGTTACCAGCGGACCAAGCTGGGGATCGAGTTCACATTATAGGCGGAGAGCCCTGGGCTGTGCGCTACTGTGTGGGCTGCAGCCTTCCCTGCCCTGCGTGCACCCGTGCAGACGTTTTCCTTGCTGGAAAGTCTGCCGTGCTACTTGTGACCTGGGATGACTTCATGTGAAAGTCTTGACGCTTTTTCCAGATGGCTGTTGCTGAACAGCTCTTTCAGGTTATCTGAGAAGAGCGTTAACCTGGTAATAAATGTCTGAGAAAACTTTTAGATAATATTTTGGAGTCAAGTTTTGGGAACGTGCTAGGAAGCTTAGAGGGAACTGATTTATTCAAGAAAATTTATGCTGTTCCTACTATGGTATCAAATATGGTAATAACTAATTTATGTGTTTAATCATTGCCGTATGTTCTTCCTTAATGCGTGTCAGTGTCTACAAACATTCATACTTGCGTCAGTGTTAATGTTGGTGTGTGTGTATGTATGAGATTTTTAAAACACAAATAGTGGTAAATCTTAGACACATCTTTTTCATTTAATAATAGATGATGGAGAGATCACTATACATAAATTCCTAATTTAAAAAAATACCCCATTGTAGAGGTATACTATAATTTATTTTTCACACCTGGAGATATTTTAAATTTCCGATTATGCACATGGTAGCTCAGTGGTCTTTCTTCTCTAGATGTCATCATGGCTTTATGAGTGAAAATTTCTGTAGGGAAGTTTCTAGGAGTAGACTCACTAAATCAAAGAGTATGTACACTTTAATCAGGTGGACGTTGCTAAATGGAAAGAAAATTTTCCAGGGGCATGTGCTTCTGTCAGTGTGCATGAGGGTGCAAGTCCAGCTCGCTGTGAAGGGCTAAGCACTTAACCTAGCAGACTGTTTGGAAAGCCATTTTCAAACTCACTGCGAACTATTAACTAATCTCACCCTGACTGAGTCACCGTGGAAATACACACGGTGTCCTTACTGTAAATAAGACCAGCGTGTGTCACCATTTGGTTGCAGGTCCCGCACACAGCTGCAGAGCTCCGCTGGTCAGGAGGCGACTGCTCTGCCCCCGCCTTGGGCGGAATGCGGCACGGGGCTGGGTTTGCATACTTTTCTGTTCTACCTCTGATGTTTTCATCTCATCTTCGGGCCTTGATTTACACATCTGTAAAAGTCAAGGGGTTAAGTGGATTAGGGAATAAAATCCCTCGCGCTCCTCCTTCCCATCACACCCTCTACCCTCATTGTGTAGATTTCGAGCCCACTGTGAAAGTCACGTTCGGTGTACCTGGACGTGTGGCCCCTGCCCCCTCGGCCGCACCTGGGCTCCAGTCCAAGGCTCGGTCGATTCCCACCTGAGCAGTTGCCCTGGCCCCCCGGTTTCCGCCTCCTCCCCCCAGTCTGTTCTCTAGACCTTGTTGGATACAAAGAAGTAGTTCATATGAAATATTGAACAGAAGCAAAAATTGTGATAAAATATTTATAAGGCATAAACAGCCGTACAATGGATACCCCCGAACCTCCCGCCAGGGTTTAGAAAGCAGAACCATGTTATTGTCTTCCTGATTCCACCCTTGTCCGCACCCCCGGCTCCTACTTTCTGGAATTATTAGCTTCTTATGTCTTTGTCTGGCTAGCAGTTTGAGCAACAGCGCACCTCCACAGCGGCCTTCTGTTCTGGCTCTGCACGTGTTCCTTGGGGATGCAGGGCACGCTTCTCAGGCATGTGCACTGGCAGTGGGCTGCCAGGCCCTGGGGGGTGTGGTGCAGCTTCACGGGATGAGCACACACCGTGGCCCAAAGGCGCCGTGTCAGTTGGCACTCCTCCTCCTCACGTCGTTCTTCAGCCCTTTGTACCTGCAGTTTCCTCTGTCCTGTCCTTTTGCCACGGTTCTAGCAGCGACCTCCTGCCTGCCCATCCTCACCTGTCCGTTTCAGTGTCACCCTCTCCCAACTTTTCTCTGGCTGAGTCTCCCCCGGCCCTCAGACTGTCAGGCCCGCAGGGCCCAGCTCACCGTTCCGCTCCAGGACCGAGTGCAGTGCCTGGTGCCTGGTGGGCGTGGAGACAAGGCTGGTGCCGTGAGGAAGTGCCTGTGGGCGCGGCACTTTCCATGCAGAGGTCCTGTGGCCCACTGCAATGACACAAGCGGTGAGAAGGGTAATGCAAGCTCCCTCCTCGGGCTTCAGGCCGGCGTGCCGATGAAGCTGCCATCTGAAGGCCCTGCTGAAGGAGCTGTAGTTGCTGAGCCGCGTTGGAAAGCTCTGGTGGAATAGAGCTTTAGACACAGAGGGATGTCTAGATGAAGTGAATGAGTCAGTGGCCGCCAGTAAGCAGGACCTGCAAACTTGGCCATCTCCAAAGAAAGGCGGTGAGGGGTATGCTTTGCGGTGTTGTATTAACCTACGTCCCAGCCAGCATTATGTGGGAAACAGTAAGGTGAGCTCAGACGGGAGATTTTACTAAGGAATCCAGTCTTGCTATTGGACGTCTCAGTCGCTGGGGAGATGAGTCGCTCAGTTCTGCTTCCCTGCCTGCACTGGTGGCAGTTGGCTTCTTGCGGCCATAGTCACTCTGCCTGAGAGAGGAGGGTGTTGGAAGCTGGCACCCCGGGTAGGGTGGCATGCCGTCCCTGAAGATGGAGACAGGGAGCTGCCCACGTGGCCAGACACAGGAATGAGCCCCGCCACCGCTCTCATAGCCAGCAGTGCGCTTGCTGGTGCGCAGTCTTCCAAGGCGAAGTAGGACATGGAGCCTGGCATTTCATGGGGCCTCAGCCGCAGGAACGCAGCGCAGTGGTGTATGCTGGGCTCAAGCTTGAGTCTTGGGTCCCAGTCAGCCAACTCTCTCACTTGGGCAGCTCACTTGTGTTTCTGTGCCTCAGTTTCTTTATCTGTGAAGTGGGAATACCAAACACTGACAGGTTCCTGGGAGGGAGTAGTGGTGTATCTAAAGTAAAACCCTTGGCGTGGTACCTGGCACATGGGAAGTTCTGAAATATTTTTTCTTTAAAAGAATCATCATCTTCATTTTACCTGGAGGGAGCAAGAACTTCACTGAGGAAGCCGGGTCACTGGGTTGCTTCGCTGACGCTGGGCTCAGCCCGAGCCCTTCTTGCCGGCGTTCTCTCCACCCGTTACTTCCAACTGGGAGAACCGCTGAGATAGTTCCCGATGCCTTCAGCTTCCGGCAGTCACCCTTAGTGAAGGGGCTTCTCTTATTTCTAAGAAGTTTAAAATGAGGGAATTAAAACCAGCAGTTGTTAGCAGCCTGCGCGAATAAATGACTCTGAAGATGAGTTACAAATGAAGCCGCAAGTAGAAACAAGGCAAGAGGGGCACCCCGAGGGCTGGTCTGGGAGGGCGGGTCTCCCGGGCTGTGTGGCCCTGCTTCTGCTGGGGGCTGAGAGCATTAACCTTCCTGTGCACAGGGAACCCAGAGTGAAGAGGAACAGCAGCTGCTCATGGAAGCTGCAGCCCGGGAAGCAGACCCGTCCCCTCCAGGTGCCCCAGCGCCATGGGCCACTGTAGCCTGCCTCGGCCCGAGCCTTCCCTGGCGTCCTTCCAGGACAGGGGTTCTTACCCAGAGAGCCCAGGAGGAAAGCTCAGCACACCCCGGGACCTGGAGGGAAAAATGTATGTCTTTGTGTCTCATAACCCCTGTGTGAACTTCCGCATTCTCCTGCAGCTTTGTCACCAATAGCAATCCCAGATGTTTTTGTGTCACGTAGCGATTGTGGCCATGGTCTTGAAGTGTCATTTATGCTCATCACTGCTTCGTGATGGTAGTCACTAGACAGGCTGCTAGAGCTCAGGTGCCATGAGTGAATAAATGTAATCATATGTGCTCAGTTATATGGGATGTATATCTTCCACAGTACGTACATACATGTATATACTCATACTGTACATACTGTACATATAATTATATTCATGTCCTATGTATTATATACAGTATATATGTATTGTGAATATGTGATATGTTTACATATTATATGTATTATACTATGTCTAATCTCTCAATTATATAACGTACTATACACTAAGTTACATGGTATGTGTGTGTATGCACATACAGACTATATACAGTACATAAGGAAGACATACATTATGACATCAAATTTTAGGAGATATTTTAATAGCTGTTTGATGTAGTTGCTTTTCTTTATAGCCTGATGGCATTTTGTCTCGTTCTCCTCGGAGAAGGGGGCATGGCCTCCCAAGATGCAGGCAACAGGGAGGTGCAGAGGAGATTCAGGACACCAGGCTTGTTCTGGAGGGTGAGGGGAGCTCCAGGAGTACAGCCTTCCCCCAGCTGTGTTGTTCCTACAAAGGAAGCCAGTGGCTAAAAGGAGGGAGAGAAAAGTGTACAAGGTTAGGGATAGGTGTCTTGCTCTGTGATAGTTAGGATTAATTGCCAGCTTGATTGGGTTGGGACACCCAGCAGATTAGGAAAGTGCACTTCTGGGTGTGTCTGGGTAGTCACGAAGGCTGGCCTGGGGCCTTCCTTCTGGCACTGAACCCCTGCTCTGCTTCCTGGTCGCTACGAACTAAGCATCTTGTTTCACCACTCTCTTTTGCCATGATGTTCCGGCCTTCAAGCCAGGCAACCCTGGACTGAATCTCCTGAACTGTGAGCCAAATTAAACCTCTCCTTCTTTAGATTGTGGGTGTTGGGAATTGTGTCCCAGCGAGGGAAATCTGACCAATACATGCTCCCAGTGTCTTAGGACAGAGCCAACATGAGAACGTGCAGGGGGACTTGGTGCCCCTCTGGACATTGGTGTCCCTGCCTTTTTCGACTGTAGGCCTATTCCCCCTGTTTGCCAACAGTGTGCCCACAGCACGGCCCCGCTCGCTGCAGCAGAAGCGCTTTCTCCCGGGCTCTCCTGGCCTGGGCTTGAGCAGGAAGGGATGCGCCACCGGGACTCACCAGGACCTGCCCTGCCCCGGTCATTGCAGGAAACTGTCCTGTGGCGCCTGCACCAGGCCGGACAGTGACCGCTCCGACTTTTTCTCACAGGCCTTGTGGTGTTTGCTCCCTGCCTTTTACCGTGTCTAAGGGCCTTCTGTATTGCTGAGGGCGTCTCTGTGTTGTGGTTCTGTCCTAAAGCCCTGGCTCGGGTCCAGGTGCCTGGGTTTATAGCCTTGCTCCTCTCCTTAGTGCTGGGAGTGCTCCTGGGAGTACTGAAGATTGAACCTAGGGCCTTCATACTGAGCTACATCCCTGGCTGGGCTGAACTCATGATCCTCCTGCCTCAGCCTCTGAGAGTGCTGGGGTGCAGGTATGTGCCACCATTTTGCCAGTGCTGTGTATCTGTAGGCAAGCGACGGCTCCTCTCTAGCCGTCCATGTCTGTTTCCTAATCTGTGCGGTGGGGCTGGGAGCGTACCCACCCGAGAGCGTTGCTGGGAGTCTGAGGGAGCCCCCAAGGTAGCGCGATGAGCTGGGCATGGCACACGTCAAACGGTAGGATGTGGCTCCCGGTCAGAGAGTGGTGACCGCGTTATCCTTACCGCTGGCTTTTAAAGATCCTCGTGGACTTAATCTACAAAGGAAGCCAGTGGCTAAAAGGAGGGAGAGAAAAGCGTACAAGCGGGAAGGGTCTTGGTTTCAGGCAGAAGGGCAAGGTTCCCATGGGCGAGCCGGGGCGGTGAGCTGGCGCCCAGTGGCAGGGGAGGTAAGGACAGAAGAGGGCTGGCAACAGGGCACAGACTGTGTGAGGGTGCCCTGGCAGGGTTTGGTACATGAGGGATGAGAAAGCGGAGGGTCTGACGCCAGTGTCCAGGGCCAAGGTGAGGGGCCAGGGGGAACAGGTGTGCCAGGGCTGCGGAGGGCAGGGTGGAGCCCGGGGGTGAGCTGTGGGGGCAGGGCTGAGATGGGGGCCATGGTGTGGACCTGGAGTTGGGTTGGGGCTTGGGCCCTGACGCATTATGAGGAGCGTGGACCGGCTTGGTAGGTTGTACTGGGATAGCAGCATGCATGGGTAAAAGCCTGCAGATCGTACGTGTGGAACTTGAGCGTTGATCCCTGAGCCTGAAAGACCTGGAGCTAGGAACACGACCAGCCTTCACCATGAGGGGCTCCTCCACCTGTGTGTGTGCCCCTCAGCACTCTGCAGGAAGTACTGGGCCGCTCGGGCACTGCGGTGGACTTGCTCCCGGGTGGCAGTGTGACATCTGAGTGCACCTGGTCCCTGCAGAGGGGCTGACCGTGCTTTTCTCAGCCAAGTGTGCGGACAGCTGACCCATCGTGTGCCCGTCATTTCCCCTGAGGCCAAGCAGGAAGTGCAAATAGCCAAAGATAAAAGAAAAGAGGATGGATGACTGCCGGATCCGTCCTGTGCCAAACGCCTGGTACTGGGCATAGTGCCTTCAGACCTCACCACCACCGCGTGGGGGCTCCCTTTCACAGAGGGGAGACAGCTTCACATCCAGGTCTCAGCTCAGCTCAGTGTGAGAACCAGCATTCCTCAAATCCAGCCCTTCTGACCCGCAGAGCTGGGGCAGGAGGCTCCACGCCCACCCATCCCTGTTGCTTCTGTGTGTGAAAGCAGTGGTACCAGCCTCACAGTAATTGTCACAGGACCCAATGGGGAGGAGCTCTCTGAGGGGTGTGGAGCTTTGCAAGGGTCTAATCAGACAATATGTCTGTAAGTTTAGAAGGTGCCTGCCACATATTTAATCCTATAAAAGCTAATTGCCGCACTGACAAATGAAGGTGTTTAATACATGGTGGGCTGAAGAGTTTGTTCCATCTCATCGCGGAGTGTGTCTATTGTTGTCTGCGATGGCTCCCCCTTGGGGCCGGAACATCTAACTGCACAGGGATGCTGTGTTTTCATGATTATTCCTGAGACGGACGGAGCCTCGTCTTAGCCACTGACTCTCTCACTGCACGGTTGGGCCCTTGTAATTTTTGTTTTCTGCTGCAGTGGATACTAATTCTGTGAGAGGGGGCCCGTGTGTTTTGTTTTTTTTTCTTTTCCTAGGGTTCACCCCTGTTCTAGCTATTTAAGATGAAAAAAATAATATCTGAGAAAATCATTCTAACATCATTCACTTGAAAAGGAAAGGAAAAATTCATGGTAAGAGAGCCAGTTCAGAATATTATGAAAGATCAACTCTGAAAAACAAAATATACTAGGAAAATTTAAAGGCATATTACCTTCACTTCAACTGAAATATCAGCAGTGATTTTTAATTCAGTTTTCTTTAACTCCCGGGCTAGGAAGGGAAGGTCAAGATAATTTCTGAAGAAAAAGTGATCCAAGTTTTATTTCTCTCTATATATAATCAGATTCTCTCTTCTTTTTTTCTTTCTCTTCCCTCAGTAGCTGGCTTTCTAAAAATAACTTTGTGTTGGTTTGTGAGCTTCCTCCAGCTGGCCTAGGATGATTTTTTCAGAGATGTTATCACCACATTCGTTTCCAGTGATAATTTACATGACCTTAGAAGAATTCCCCTGGCATAATCTAGCGAGGGCAGCCAGGGCAAATGTTTAACGCTTTGGCAAGTCATCTCCATGTTTGTTTAGCGTTTCTTAGCTTTTGAAGCTGCCCAAAAATAGTGATGAAGTGATCGCAGGGGCGATCAGCGCAATGGACCGAGGTCACCCCAGGTGCACGTCGGGTGCAGCGGCCGGCCGGCATTTCCGAGGTGGCAGTGACAGCAGCGTTGTGGTGTTGCCGAAAGCCCTTGCCACTGCCTGGAGGGCTGCTCCTGGTTCCCCGGATGGCCAGCCGCGAGGGCCCTTTCATAAGCCCTTTGAATTTTGTTTTGTTTTGTCTTGTCTTTTTGAGACAGGGTCTCGCTGTGCAGTTCAGGCTGGCCTTGAGCTCACTTTGTAGCCCAGGCTGGCCTCGAACTCTCAACGATCCTCCTGCCTCAGCCTCCCAAGTGCTGGGATTACAGGAGTGCGCCACCACGCCTGGCTGAGCCCTTTGAATTTTTTAACATTATTGGTATAATTAAGGAAATTGGAAAATGGATATATGTTAGACCATGGCATTACAGCAATGTTAATTTTCTTGAGTGTGATAGTTGTAGTTAGAACATTTGATGGAGTATGAATTAGGACACAGAAAAACCATGTTTCCAAACTATACCCTGAATTTGCCAGTAAGACGAATGCTTCTTAGTGGATGTGTGCTTCCAAAGGTCACCCCTCCAGACACGCAGAGCTCAGGGCTGCCATCACGCCCCAGGACTTCAGCACGGGATGGCTGCGGCTTCCCACATCCACACCCCGCCATGCCTACCGGTGCGTGTGCCAGGCTCTGCGCCAGGCCTGGGAGTGGCAGGATTCATCCGGGCCTCTGCTCGCTGCTTCCTGCCCGGGAGGCAGGAGACGCATTTAGCTTGGTGAGCTCAAGGACCAGAGGTGGTGGGGCGGAGTCTGACTGCCGAAAGCCGGGGCGCAGGGGTGGGCTGCGGGAGAAGCTGCAGCAGGTGCAAAGGCCCGAGGCAGGAAGGAGCTGGCTATTTGATGGCCGAAAACCGGGACAGGAAGCAAGGCCGAGAGTGCACGAGAACAGGAATGTCCAGGCCTGACTGCTGTGGAGATGAGGGATTTTATCCGAAGAACAGTGGGAAGCCGCTGAATGGTTTTACACG